CCGCAAGGGCTGGGCCGGGGACGGGAAGCCAGCTGGAGCTCTGTTACCTTTCACAGCCAGCAAACCAAGAGACAAAGAAATTCCCAGCCTTAGGGCTTAAGGTGCTGTTCACAGCTTGATCTCACTTTTCAGTGCTTAAAACTGCTGTCAATTCTTAGCAATGGCCAGCTGTTGGCTAGGAGACAAACTCCCATCAGCCTCCAGCAGTTTTAACTTCCTTAGGTGTTTCTCTTTGTTTTCTTAAATGCCAATCTATCACAGAAGATCATTACAAAACTTGGCAGGTCTCTCCAGACTGGCTGCACAAGTTAAAATCACTGCAATCTGGTACATTTCTTTCTTCTGATGGTACAACAAGGCCTTGTGGCACACTTTGTGTCTGATATCACAAAATGTCCCTGAACAACGGCGCTCTTTTATCTTTACACATATTTTTATCCAATTAACAATAGACACGTATATTATTTTTCTTAATGACCTTCACCTGTGTGCTGCACTGTGGCATTTTCTAACCAATCACTTACTATTACCCAAAAACCTCTAGAAGAAGACCATGAAGAAGAAAGAAGGACAAGAGACAACAGCCTAAATCCTCCATCTTGTCTTCTGCTCTAACTCTTTCACCCAGTGATTTAAGAAAACTCTAATCTACACACACTTTTAGCTTTTTCTATCTAATTTTAACAGTGGTTTTAATGTATCACCATGAAAACATGCTCATGAATTTCATGTTATATGAAATTCAGTGTTTCTCTGGATCTTAGAATTAAGTATCAGAAACAACTAACGTCCGCCCCTCCCCAGGGGGCTGCTGAAGGGTCTTTGCTTTGGCCTTTGTAATAAAGAATTGGGTAAATAAAAATTCGGAATAAGAGGTTTAAATAAAGTATGTGTAATTATAACTAATGGAAATATGGAATAAGGAATTCTCCTCCAGGTCGAGGTAGAATTCATTTTCCAAAGTCACGGATTGCAAAAGAACCCCCCCAGATAACAAGCTTCAGCAGGCTCATCAACTCAGAGGAAAGAACAGGACACAGGCCATCACAGAAACAAAAGAACTAGCCTGAAAGTCTACCTCCAGATAAAGGCAACGCCCGGCCGATTTCGGCCGGAGACCATCAAGCAAGACAAAAGGGACGAGCCCCAGGAAAATGGTCGTTGCCAGAATCGAACACCACACCCGCCAAACCCATACTACAGAAACTCAATCAAGAAAGACAAAGAAGAAACAACTCCTCCGAGATATCCATCGGCGCTAGCCCGGATCCCTCGATTCTGCTGTGATGAAATATGTTAAAATACATACAGACTCACTTTGCATTTGAGGAGACTCTGCCCGGCCACTTACTGACTCAATGTTCTAGGCCAGGAAATCCATTCACCCGACAATCAGGGACACTTGGTGAATGGAAACTGGTTGGAATTCTAGCCTGGGGACATAAAATCCCTATAAAAACCCAGGCCAGAAAACCCTCAGACGTGGATTTGGGAACACCTATACCTTGCGTATAGACCCTGTCCACCCAGCGCTGCGCTGTCCATTTATTGTGGTTTTTTCCTCGCTGTTCGTTGCTTTATTAATTTATAATAAAGTTATCTTTGTTAATCTTTAATCTGCCGTTGCATTTATAACAGCCTTTGACTGAATTTGGCCTCTTGACATTCCAGAAGTAACTGATCCATTCCACATAAATGGGGACTGAAGTTCCTCTGGTGTGGGCACTGAGCAGGGTCTGGGCAGGGGGGCACCTCAGAGTGCCCCCAAAAGGAGATGGGCCTTGGAGAGACAACGTCAGCTCTGCATGGTGACAGCTCCAGCAGCTTGGGCAGTGTGTGCTCAGGGAAAACTCTGCAGAGCCCTGGGTGACAGCAACTGTGTCAGAGCTGGAGGGACAGTGCTGTTTAAATGGACAATAAACTCCTGCTAAAGGTGACCAACAGGGACACTGGGCAGAAATGAAGCTGACCCATGAACCACAGAAGGGATGCCAGGGCTGGTTAAACAAAGCAGTATTTTAATTTCAAGATTTTACAAATATGTATTTACAAAAGGAAGGTATCGATCCAAAGAGCTAAACAAATGTACAGCTGCCAGTACTGCAGAGCAGTACGGGGAGAGGAACCCGGTTAATCCAACCCCACAATTCACAGCACCCAGGAGTCAAACAGAAACCACATTCTGCATTTACAACTCCTCAGCCAGAACACCCAGTACCTGCTGCTGTGGAAGCACAAGCTCCAGGGCCAGAAGCCCGAGAAGGAACTGACCCCTGTGCAGAGCAGAGCCCAGAACACAGAGCACTGCCAGCCACCACCCCACAGAGGGCCTCCCCCAGCTCACCCGGGGGACAGCACAGCATGGGCTGCAGGAGGGCAACAGCCTGCCAGCCCCAGCATGCCTGGGAAGTGCTGCTCGTCCCAGGAACGGCCCCAGGGCCCCACCAGGACACCCCATGGCTGCAGGGACAGGCCGGGCAGACAAGGGGGCTCTCACAGCCCCTGGCTGGAACGGGGGTGCAGCCTTCCCTGGTAACTGGTTCTACCCTTGCCACTCTCTCTGTGGGCCTGCAGGGATTGCCACAGATCCAAGGTTTGGGACGTTCCCCAGCTCTGTGAATGCTTCAGAAAACCAGGGCCTGCTCACAGGTCACCTTCTGCAGCTGCCATGAGACTTCAGAGATCTTCCCAACAGCTCCATTTCCTTCAGACACCCCTCACTGCAACCACTCAGCACCATTCCAGTCACAGTGAAGGATGCAGGGCCAAAAAATCACTCCCTAAACTGTAACAGAAGCAGCAACAACCTCCAAGACCAAAAGCTGTGCACAACTGAAAGTACCTAGGCACCAAGTGCTGAAGGAGCAGGAGAGTTCCCAGGGCTCAGCCTGTACATGGCTTTTCTGAAGAATCTCCAGCAATCTTCTCTTAACTCATCCAGTAGTCTAACCTGTATGAAACTCACTCAGGCTATCTTTTAATTTAAAGTTTAAGCAAATTAATTCTTGTTAATCAAACTAAAGAGAGGACTTAAACACAAACTGCTAGTGGAAAATGGAATATAAGTTGCCAGGAGTATTAACCTCCAGTCTTGCACAATTTATTTACTTCTTTTGATTCACACCTTGTGTGCAGCTCCCAAACTGGTCAGAGCAAGCTTCTCTGTTGGTCACTGCTGGGAATGCAGCCTGGCTGGAGGCTCCCACCATACTCAGGATGCTGCTTGGTTCTCTGTAGCCATGGTCTGCAGGAGGCAAGATCAAAGAAGGCAGGAGAACTCTGTCAGTCACTGCTGGGATTTTGGGGCAAAACATTCATTTCTGCAAGAGCCTGAGGCTGGCCTGGGTGTCTGGGTAACCCCTGCCAGGGTACAGGAACTCAGGAGCAAACCAAGAAGGGGATGGGCCCAGCACAGAGTGCCAAGAAAGGTCCATTAGTGTCTGAGCTTCTGATTGCGCTAACGGCAGTAATTTGAGTAAATATTCGTGAACCTGTGGCAGCCAAAACACCTCAAGAGTCATCAATACAGCCAGAAAAAGCAGTCCAGCAGCAGTGGAGTGGAACTAGGATGGTTGTTCCTGCTGGAACATTTGTTCCCTTTCCTGGAAGCAGGAAACCCAGAGCTGGGGGAGAACAGGAGCTGCTGAGAAGAGCTGGGTGGAAGTGGGAGAGAACACAAAAGGCAGTGGCAGTCCCTTTAAACCTGGAGTGTTATTTCCACCACAGCAGTCCTGTTCCAGTAATTCCCATGGCATTTCTCAATGGCACCAGCCAATGCCACAGCGCTTCACGTGGGGCTGGATGGCAGCAATTGGCAGTGCTCTGTGCCTTAATTAATGGGGCTCAGTTTCCCAAGGCAGCAGTGTGGGAAGGGTCCCACTGCACAGCTCAAAACACAACTGGTTTCCGTAGGCACTCGTTACTCCCAGGGACGCCGCAGCCCTGGCCACCTCACCTGCCGCAGGAACTGCTTCCCCAGGTAGCTGGTTGCAATGCTGGTCAGGTTCTTCCTGCTGCCAACTTTACACCTGATGTAGCCGTAGAGGTTGGCTCCCTGCAGCACCACCCCCATCACCACCACGGCCTGCGACAGGGAGGAACCATCAGCAGCTGGCAGCTCCCGGCTCAGCCAGGGCCAGGTGCTCTGGGGGGCTCAAGGGGGACTCACCAACCACTTCACTTTGAAAGAGAAGAGAGCACTGAAGGCAAAGATCACCCATATCATAGGGCAGGTGATCAGGCCTAGCCAGAAAATCCGGGACTCTGCTTCAGAGGAGCTTTTACCCCCTTGTGCTGATACCTAGAAACAGAAAGGAAATGGAAGTGATCAGGCTGCTCCTACCTACAGATCCTAATTCCTTAAACCAGGGCAGAATCCCCACACTCCCTGGGGTCTCCCCAGCACTGAGTGCTCCAAGACTAATTTCTACACCACACAAAGACATCTCTGCAACAGAAAGTGTTTCCATTTAAGGGAATCTTTTCAATTTTCTCTCTGAATCACTGGAGGCTGTAGCATCAAAACCTCTTGGAATGCTTGGGGCTAGAAGGGTAAGTTTGGGAAAAATGACATTTCTTGCATGGTTCAGTTACAAACCTTAGAACAGCCAAAGGAGTGGTTTCCTACCTCCAAAAACCACAAATTACTTATATTAAGCCAGATAAATACATAATGAGAATTTTTTAATGATTCAACAATCAAAAAGCTCACTCAGCAGTCTACACAACACGAGGTCACAGATATGTGGCTGCAAGTAAAGGTTCCTTGTGGAACCCCCTCAGAAGCAGAACCAGCAGTTATCAGGGGGTTCATGAAGAAGACACCAGCACAAGATCAGAACAAAATCATTTACCTTCCTGGCTTCAAACACCCAGTGACTTCTGCCATCATCATCCACCTGGTTCCACCAGCGAAGGCCAACCATGAGCCGCCCTGTGACGTTCTGAAAGAGAACCCAGGAACTCTGTGGCTTGTGCTAAAGAAACCTTCTGCCAAAGCTCAGTGCCTGGGCTGCTGCTTTCCACAGTGCCCATCTGCCTCACATATGAGAGAACAAGATGCACAACAATCCATTTTCTCCGAGATCTAGCTCAAGGGGCAGACTTGTGGTGATTCTGAGCTGATAACAAAGCCTGTGCTCCTCAAAATGGAGTCTAATAAATGTTCTCCACTTGACTTCCAAAAGGAACCAAGTACCCAGAGATGTCAGAGTTTATTTCACAACAATCTGCAATCCACCACAGTACCTGAGGGTGTTTTGGGATTTCATTTGGTGGGAGAGGCACCAATAAATGACTTTTTTGAGACATAAATACTGCTGTCAGTTATTTTTACACATCAAGGCAAAGATAACAAAAAGCACAAGGGGAACTCACCTTTACAGCCCAGAAGTCACAGGACAGCAGGAGGATGATGGTCACCATGCAGGCAATGAAGCTGCTGGTTAAGAGCTCACAGAGCAGGTAAACAACGATGGCACTGACTCGGAAGAACAAGTGGAAAAATGATGCCACTGGGTGCCTGGAACAAAGGACAGGACAGTCACAGCTCCTGTAGACAAGTCACATTCGCAAGGGATTTCCCAGCAGTGCACAGGATAAGGCTCGGCATCATAACATGAACCCAGTGGTCTGCAAATACTACCCAGAAGCCAACACAAGGAAGAAACATTCCAGAAACTCCCTCCATCACCACTGACCTTATTTTTGACTTTTTGGATCTCCTAGATACATCATCATCTGCATCAAAGAGAGACACATCTTCAATGTCATCACTGCTGTCCTGAGGTGAGGAGCAGAGGCAAAGGGTTACAGGAGAAAAATTAAACCGTTTTCAGCTTTAGCCTGAGACAGTGCTCATTGCCCAGAAAAGCAGAGGCACCTCAGGATCAGAATTAATTTGGGAAGAACGTGAAGATTTAGCCACACACAAGCCTACACTGTGGTGTGAGAAATGATCATTAGGTTGGGGTGCTGCAGCTGGACTAAACCCCCTGAGCTGATCACAGAGCGCCCCAGGGGGGCGAGGAGCACCCGGCTTTAACACACAGCCTCCGACACTTCTCCTTGCCGCTAGCAGTCCGGCTGCGGCAGCACTGTCCTCCCGAGCCTTCCGAGAGTCACTGCCGGGCTGCGGCTGCCGGAACTGCTGGGAGAGCCGCCGCCAGCTCAGGGAGTGTCAAAGCCCGCGGGCACCGCCCGTGCAGCCCGGCGGGCCCGCTGCGGACGGGCCTGGCCGGCACAAGGCTCCTGTGCGCCCGCAGCTCGCCCGGGGCCTGCGGGTCT